GGTTGGAAGGGACCTCAAAGACCATTTAATTCCACCCTCTGCCACAGGCAGAGACACCTTCCACTAGCCCAGGTTGCTTCAGAGCCCTGTCCAGCCTGGCCTTGCACAGTGTCAGGATTAGGAAGGCATCCTGGCACGGCTCCCATCCCAGTGCAAATCACTGCTCTGTGCTGAAGCAAAGCATGAGGTGGGAGTTGCACTGGGTGAGGGAAACAAACACTTAAGGGTGTCTTAGAAAGTCCTAAACCCCTTTGAGTCTGGAGCAATGCAGTGACTTCTGCAGCCAGTTCTTGAGGTGTGCTGGCAAGAGCCTCCTTCAGGCCATGCAGGAGAGGGATGACTTGGTCCTGCTTGGTGAACACACCAAGCAGCTTCTGGGGGAACGTGGGGACTCTGGGCTGGAAACCATCAGGGACCAGATAAACTCAGCCCTGGTGGTTCACATCCCCTGCATGGAGCACGTGGTGTGTGTTAATGTGCTGACACTGGATCCTGAACAGTGTCCCTGCTCTATCCCTTCTCTAGGGGAAGTCCTTTAATGAGGAAAACGGTTGGTTGTGGGATTTTTTTCCTTTCAACCCTCTAAAAACAAAACTTTACCATTTACATGGCCTGAATCCCAGAGCTGCAGCCTGGCTTTTTGTGGCAGCGCTTGTGGTGAAGCCAAATGTCAAGGATCAGCAAAGTGGTGCTTTTGGTTAGTCAGGTTTTACTGATGTTTTTCCTTTAAAAAAAAATAAAACAGTTTTATAACAGTAGCTTAAAAAATATTCCTGTATTTTCTTCCTTTAAAAAAAGTAAAGGCTTCATCTCCTTTCCAAACTCACCAAAAATGTTTCAGCACCAAATTACTTTTAAGTTCACAAAAAATGGAAAAAGAATTTAGAGGAGATGGAAAAAAAATAACTGAAAAGCTTCACAGATGGCAGATTTCATGAAATGAATGAAAGCAATTTAGGGGAAGTCAACCAAAACTAAAATATTAAAAATGTTGATGTTCAGATGGCAACTATTTTTGGACAAAGAAACAAATTCAATCCTAGAAGAGTGACAGTTGCTCTCTCTGGCTCTTGGAGCCTTTTATTTTCCTTGTGGATGTGTTGGATACGGAGCTGTCTGGTTGCTTGTTACCAGAGTCATTTTAGTGAAGCTGTTTCTGCCACGTGGTCTGTTCTCATCTGCCCCTTCTGACAGGAGACATCAGAGGCAGGAGCAGAAACTATTCAATCATAGTGACAGAACCCCTTTTTTTGGATGTAAAATGTTCTGTTGGTTTCATATATATATATATATATAACCTCATGTTTGTCTCTCTGCTTACATCCCGCGTGTCTGATGAAATAGAGCTCGAAGGGTGGTCCTGGGAGATTCCTGCCCCACTCTGCAGGGCTTAAAGGGGAGGATCCCAAACCCTGAGTGCTTATTCTGGCTGATGAGCAAGCAAGGAACAGAATATTCTGAGCTGGAAGGACCCACAAGGATCATTGTTCCAGCTCCTGGATGCACAGACACCCCAACAATCCCACCCTGTCCCTTGGAGTGTTGTCCAAACCCTCCTGGAGCTCTGGCAGCCTTGGGGCTGTGCCCACTGCCCTGGGGAGCCTGGGCAGTGCCCAACCACCCTCTGGGGGAAGAACCTTTCCCTGAGATCCAACTTGACCCTGCCCTGACACAGCTCCAGCTGTTCCCTGGGTGCTGTCCCTGCTCACACAGAGCAGAGGTTGGTGCTGCAGCCCCCGATGAGCTCTGCCCTCAGTCTCCTAGAGGGTGAGCAAACCAAGTGACTTCAGCCATTCTTTGTATGGCTTTCCCTCTAGACCCTTCACCACCCTTGTAGCTCTCCTTTGGAATAGGTGGCTCGTTGGGAGACTGGGGATTGTCCAAAGTTTTGGTCTGTCCCTAGTGGGAATGCTGTACGTGCCACCTGGAACTCTGCTAAACTCCTCAGGTAGATGAGTGAGCAAATGTAGCTGGTGGTGATACCCACAGGTTTTGTCAACCCTCCACAAGTTTATCTTCCCCGTTTCACAATTTAGCCTTATGAACATGGTGTCACCTGGTTGGTGGTGTGGAGGACCTGGAGCTTTATTCCCAAACCAGGCACTGGCCTGCAAAGTGGCCTCAGCCGAGTCACTTCACTGCTTTGTGCTTCATTCCCCTGACTGCAAAATGGGGCTGATAACCAGCCTGGCCGATGACAAGTGTGAAAGGAGAGATAAGCCTTCTCCTTTGATGTTTGTCAGGGTGCTGACCTAGATCTGCACAGTCAAACTGCATGTAAGCTGCAGAAGTGTAGCTCCACAGGACAGCATCTGTGCAGATTCAGGCTGGCTGGCAAGTCGCTGCCATCCACGAGGGTTACAAGCATCAGTGTAAGGCAAACAGACTGGCCAATGTTCCCCATTTAAAAGGGAAGATGTGTGGTTTGTCAGGCTCGAATTGCCTGGAAGGATAAAAGGAAATTTGTAAGGTTCAAAGCTATCGGTGGCAGCGTGTGACTTGAGTGACGTTCATCACAGGGTTGTAGTGGATGTTTAATATTTGGATAGGGATATGTAATATTTGGATAGGGATAGATAATATACGTCTCGAGTCCAATACACTTTCAAGTCCTGTGTCCTTAAATCCTGTAAGGTCCTGAGTTCCTGTGGAGCAGCTGGATTCCTGCCCTGGCTCAGCTCAGAACAAGTTGTGTCTGCGTTGAGGTTTTACAGACTTTTCACTCACTCATCTCTGGGCTTTTCCCCTTCTTCCTTCTCTGTCCCAGGTGAAGAGGACTCCTCCTTTGCCCCCTACATAGGGACAGGGGACTTTATAAGGGTCTCTCATGTGGATCCTGTGGCTCCAAGGGTACTGGCAGCAGCGCTGCTGTGTCTGTGCTGTGCTGGCCAGTCCTCTCACTGCTGACATCCAACTTCTCCGTGAGCGGGATGAAATCCAAGTGGCAGGGCAGGCACCTCTGAGGAGATAGCTCCTAACTGTTCCCACAGAGCTTGAAGAAAAAGATTTGACGGATTTACAGAGGAAAATGGCTGAGAAGGGATTGATAAACACACAGAGAGATCTAACTAGTGTGTCCCATCACTCTGAATAGCCGATCATAGCGAAAGTGCTTCGGGGCAGTGTCGGGAAGGATTTGTTGATGTGAACTCGTGTCTCCCTGAGAGAATCGTGCTGTTTCGGGGAAGGGACCATCCAGGGAAGGTTGTCATGAAGAAAAATGCAACAACAGCGGGGTGGGCATGTGTGTCAGGAGGAGCTGGCAAGATGCTCACCAGTGCTTTCTGAAGGCAGGGCTGTGAGGATGCCAGCCAGGACTTGATAGCTGAGCTTCCTCACAGCAACACGGAGGCAAACCTCGTTCCTCCAGTGCAGGCATTTGCCACAGTAAGCTCTCAGTGCCAGCTGGGAGCCCAGGCATGAGGAATTCTGCGCTGCAGTTGGGAATCTCCTATAGCTCCCGTGCTTAGGGCTACCCTAAGGCGACTCTCTGCACAGCAGGCAGCAGTGTGAGCAGGCTTAACTTCACATTCCTGGTGCAATCTACCTCCTACAGTCCCTCCAGTGACAGGAAAGGAGAGAAAACATGATTTCTTCAGTGACCTCTTCAAAGGTCAGCCTGCTGTTGGAAGTAGGAAGAAAAGTTTGGCCAGCTCTTGCTCGAAGATCTTGGGGTAACGTCCATTGCTAGGTATTAATAATTTAAGGAGGACCCTGTGTCACAAACACCCAATGTTTGGACACTCAGTGGGCTCAATGAGGGCTCAGTTTGTAGTCAGTGTGAGCATCTGAGTGGGAGGTGTATGGGGTGTACCCTGCCAAAGTGCCCAAATGTGCAGTAAATATTCTCTAAAATCCTGCTTTGGCTTGTTACAGCTCACATAAACCATTGGATGCAGCACTGGGGAAGCTTTTTTTTTTTTGCTAGCATTGGGACAGGAGGAGAATTTTGGCCAAAATGATTTTGTGAAGTCTTGCCTTATGTGGAAAACACCACTGCCACAGGAATTGCATCATTTTTTAATACTGAGTTTCGTTTCACCTGGATTGAGATATTTTCTTGGACGGAAAATATGTTTTCCCAGCAGGGTGCAATCTTTAAAGGGATGTTTCAAAGATTTTATTAGGAGATATATGTCTATTGATCCTTTAAAATGTTTTACCTTTTGCATTCAACTATTCTGCATGAAAGACATCATCAGGGTTAATAATTTCTGGTTGTTAGTGAGGGAAAGGATCCAAAGTTGCCGTGTTGGTGGAAGCACCCAGACAAATATTTATACCCTACTTTGAATCTCAAAACCAGGAAATTCAAAGTGCAAGAGAAAATAAGAGATAGCAAGACTCTGAAGCTTTCAGAAGTGTGAATATTTTATTGTTTGCTTTGTTGGGAGAGAGGTGTCCAGCTCTTGGAAAGCTGAATTTAGCTGAACACAGGATTGTCAGGGGTATTTGTGTGCCTCAAAGAAATGTTCTAATTGTCTAACAGACTCCAAAACAGGATGGCACATGGGGTGGCCACTGCATCCCTTCCCCAGGGAAGGCTGAGGTGAGCCAGCCCTTTGTAAGGGTGTTTTCCAGAGCTTTTGTAAACAAGATGTGTGTGTGTGTGTGTGTCTCTTACACTTCAAGCAAGGCTACACAAGCTGAGCTGAGCCACAGCAGCTCTGTGAAGGCTGGGTATGCACACACAAGGGCCTGAGTTGATTTATCTTGATGTTTGGTTGAATTCTTCGCATTTTGGGTCCCTTCTGTAACCTTTTCACCTCGTTCTTTTTTAAGGTGGCTGCCTGGCTGTTACAATTTATCATGAACGCATCTCACTTCACTTCTGGCTCCTCTGACGGAAGGAACAGCCGGTCTCCGGGAGGTCAAAGACATTATTTTCCCCTCATCTTTCTCAGTTTCCAGCACATATTTGTCACTTTGAAAAAGCATGAACTCTGGATTTGATGCACTTTAATTGATTTCACCCTCAACAAGTCCAACTGTCCATCAACCTTTCCTTTTTCTTTCCTCTGTCCCTTTACTTTGGGAGGGATGTTTTCACCCGCCTGCATGTTGAAGCTGTTGCAAAGCCCATGACCCTATCAAGGCTTAGTGTCACTAGCCATTTCTCTCATTTTCCTTGTCCTCCAAGCTGAACTTTGGATGCTGAGCGAGAATGAATCCGCCTTGTAGGAGGACTGGTCTTGTGGTATCTTGGTCCCTTGTCAAAGTAAAAGGGGTGGCTGATAGCAAAATGTGGCCGATGGTCCACTTATTTTGAGACAGCTGTGTAGAATTAGACCTGCAAGAGAATTAATAATTAGTTCTTGATATACAGGCATTGGTATTTAAAATAATTTGCAGTAGGGTGGCAGAGATGCTGTTTATTCTTTCCTCCTGGAAGGATGTGCATTCTCAGTGATGTAGGTACCTCCAGTGTTGTGTGGTTGTGAATTCAGTGTGTAAAATGGCGTTGGCACCTCATAAAATAAGGTCATAGAATCACAGAATATCCTGAGTTGGAAGGAACACACAAGGTTATGAGGTTCAGTTCCTGGCTCTGCACAGGACCATCCCAAAAATCATATGAGATGCCATCACACTCTGGCTTATTTGGTGAATTCTTCTGGCATAAGTGGAGTTAGGGAGTAAATTGGGTATGTGGGTGGATAACAATTTGCCCTTTTCACAGGAATCCTTTAAGTGTGTCTTGGAAGCCAGGGGCTGGTTACAGTGGAGGCTGAGAGGTTAATAATGCTCCTGAATGCTTTCATTACATCTTGGTTATCATCAGGACCTGGGCCGGGAAAGAGGCTTCTATTTACAGCGGAGCAGGGAGATCTCAAGCTCTGTGTGCTGTTCTGTGGTGTTCAGCAGGACTCAGCAGAGAGAAGGGTGTTCTTTGGGCTGATGTGCTCTTCCAAGAGCTCCAGCACTCAGACTGAGCAGAACCGGCTCACGATGCGTTATGTGAGTGTTTTCAAGGTGTAGCCCAGGGTGACTAAGAACTGCAAAGCTCCTGCCGGCGTGTGCTCGGTGTGTTCGTGAGCGCAGCGAGCCGGGAGAGTGGGAACTGCTGTCCATGGTCCTGCGTGTCGGGGCCGCAGCGCTGGGGCTCGAGCAGGGGGTGGTTCGGGCCGGGGGCTTGGAGTAGGTGCAGATCTCTCCTTCCCTCCCTCTCTTCCTGTGCCAAACGGTGTCAGCCAGGTCGGTGTTTGCCGGTGTGTGTGATGAGGGAACTGAGCATTCTTTGAGGGGTAAAGGGCTTCCACCAGTACTCGTGGAGCTCCTACTGATCCTTTGCTTTCTTTAAACTTGCAGAGGGTGAGTTTAGGTTAAATATTAGGACGAAGTTCTTCCCTGTGAGGGTGGGGAGGCCCTGGCACAGGTTGCCCAGAGAAGCTGTGGCTGCCCCTGGATCCCTGGAAGTGTCCAAGGCCAGGTTGGACGGGGCTTGGAGCAACCTGAGACAGTGGGAGGTGTCCCTGCCCATGGCAGGGGAACACAGGGCTCAGAATAAAATGTTATTAATATGACATTAGGATGTTTCAAAGGACATGCAAAGATTTAATTTCTTTTTCTGAGTGGGTACTATCCATTCCAGGTAAGTCCAGTGCTATGTTGGGGAGGGGGTGGGAATTTGGTAAGCTTTGAAAGGAGTCCATTAAGCTGCTCCAGGCACTGCACTGAATAGTAAGAAAGATTACCTGGTGAAGAGGTGAACTGGTGGCTTACTGCCTTCTGAAGAGTCTTTTCCATGGCCTTTGTCTCCAGCTTAGAGTTCCAAGAGATGCTGACGTGACAGGTTTCACACATGTTGGGAAATCAGAGTTGGAAGATTTGTCTGACAGCCTCTATTTAAAAAGGAAAAAAGTACTTTATATCTCTGCAAGAGCTCCTCTAGGAGTGGTTCTACTGAAGAAGAAATTCGAGACCTTACTCCTCACCTATAAAGTAATCAATTTAACTATGATTAGAAGGGTTCCGGGAGGAAATTGAGATGTTTTCAGGTCACTGGACTCCAGCATTCTCATCCCTCCTCTAGCAGATACTGGCTGAGTACAGAGCTGGGCTCAGAAAGTGGGGAGAGCTGACCCCATGGCACGCTTTTCACACTTCATTTGGGGCAACATCACCAAGGTTTTAATGTGGGGTTTTTATGTGCTGGGTAGATGGGTTCTCTTGGGGAGGGCCATGGAAGGACTATCATTTACTGGAAACAAGAATTCAGAATTGTGTAGAATCACACCAGTGATCAAGGTTTCCACTTGTTTCTTCAATACAGGCTGCCCAGGGAGGTGGTGGAGTCACCATCTTTGGAGAGATTTAAAAGATGTGTGGATGTGGCACTTGGGGACATGGGTTAGTGGTGGCCTTGGCAGTGCTGGGGGATGGTTGAACTCAATCTTAGATCCAACCCAAAAAACTCTGTATTCTGTCAGGAATTATACAAACTGAGGAAACTACTGTGTTAAGGTGACTTGGCATGGCAGTACTGGAGCTGGCAATACCACAGACCCAGTCTTCCCATCCCTGGGATGTAAGTTAGGAAAGCAGGAAACACCAGCACTCCATCAGGGCTGCTTACAGAAGCTTTCAAACAGTCCCAGGATTATGGGAATATTCAGCTAATGCTGGAATCATTTTAAGATGTGGGCTCAGGTTTGATGCTTTAGATGAAGATCATCCTTAAAACTCAGTCCAGTCAGTGTTCAGAGCATCCAGCCCTAAGAATCCCTTTGATCCCTAAGAACCCTTTGCTGGAGGCCTGAGATTTTAAGCAGCTTCTGTGTTCCCTTCCACTGTATCCCACAGATCTGAAGCAGCACTTGCTCCTGAGCAGCTCCACATCCATGAGCAGACACACCTTCCTCTCCCCAGCCCAAATCCAGAAGATAACGGGATGTGAATTCACCCAGGAGTGGCTCCAGGGGAGGCTGCACAAGCCATGGTTTGGCAAAGCTGTGGAAGTATTTCAGAACACCTATTTTAATAGATAGTCAAATGAGGAGAGGGAGACAGAGCTCCTGCAAAGGCAGTGCAGAGCAATTGCATTAGGCTGTTGATAATTTCAGTCTGAATTCCCCTCTGAAATCTTCTCTTGGGAGTCTTAGTTCTTAAGTTAAATGACTAATTAGAGCTTGTTCACACCACAGATCAGCCCAGCAAGGCAAACTCCTAAGAGCTAATGCAGCTTACTTTCTCCCAGAGGAAGCTGAAGGTCTCAGGAGCTTGCAGAGGAATTTTCCTCCTGGAAATCTGTGTCTGCTACCAGGACACAGGAGAATTTAGGTGGGAGGGAAGCAAAGAAAAATCCTCCCTCACCAGACAGGCCCTCTCTCAAGCCAGTTTCTTTGCCTTGCTCTTTCTCTGCTTCAACATCTTGTTTAGTGGGAGAAAAAATGTGAAACTAAGTGCCCCAAGCTGAGAGATGTTGGGCACCCAGCAGGACCCTGACCTTCCTTGTAGGTGACAAATTGGATGGCATGTAGGCTGAGGAGGGAGGGAGGGGGGTGGCTTGCAGGGGGGTTAAAGTTACAAAGCCAACATCTGTTGCTGAGGGTATGTACGGGCTGCAGTGCTCTGCCATTCCCTTTGGGAAGGCACGAGGGAATGGCCCTGGGGTCACCAGAGGACAAAGGCAGAAATGGGCACAGTGGGTGGCTCTGAGTGGATACAGAATGGGTATAAATACACAAAATAGATCCCGAGGGGTTGGTTGCAGAGGGGTAGAAGGTGGAGAATGAGTCTTAAAACGAAGGAAGGATGTGTTCATCTGTGAGGTACAAAAATCTGGGTCTGGTTTTCTTATCTCAGGGCCCCCACAGGAATTACTCATCTCTGAGTAATGGAGGGCAGCAAAGCTGTTTTTCATCTCTTCCAGTTACCAGAAGTCCCTCCTCTGATCATCTCCTACATTCATATCCTCTTCTATCTGTCTCTGACTTGGATCTTCCTTGCTGTTTAGCACCATGAGCCGCTCCAAAAAAGTATTAGGTAGGACTGGCAGTCTGGATTCATCTGGAGAGATGTTGTTGTGCCCCAGCTTCTGTGGAGGAACAAGAGAGCCTGGGCAAGGCATCTCTCCTACATTCAGCTGTGAGATTTTGCCCCAAATGCCTTCTGTCATCTCAGCAGAGCCCGTCCTTTTTGCTTTAATTGATTCTGCCTGGCTTTAATCTGATGTGAGAACGGACCTCCCACCACGAGCACTCGGGAGCCCGGGTCGTGCACGGGGAGCTGGAGGTTGGGTGTGGCTGAGAGAGGAGCAGGGTTGTTTTGTTGTACCAGGGAGACAAGGATGTGTTGGGAAAGACACTGTAAACCCACTAACAACCAAAGTGAGGCCTTTCACTCCCATACTGGGTTTGTGGGAAGTGCCCGTGTAACAACTGGAAAGCAAAATGCTGGAATAATAATTTTTCATTATAGCTGTGTGTAGGGTTTCCTGAAGCCATCCACAGCCCTGTTGGGTTGGCTCCATGCAGGAGTGCGGTGGGAGACAGCCCAGGAGACCTGACCATTCCCTGGGGATCCAGGGGGGAAAGGAGAAGGGAATGGCTTTGGCTTTGCTCACCTAACTGCGTGATGGCAGAGATGAGAATAAATAGGGAAGTTGAAAAGGAAACCTCCATTGTGAGTCTGGTCAGACAAAGTCTAAACAGTTGTTGAGTTTGTTTTATCAAATCAAAATATTTTGGTTCAGTGGTGTGTTGGATTGAGTCAGTGTGTCTGGGCTGACACAGTGTTGGAGAAACACTGTGGTTTCAGGGGGTTGTATCCCTGTCCCTGGGGGATCAGGAACTCTGCTGTCTCCCCCAAGCTACAGGAGAGGAGAGCAAGGGGAGGCTGGATGAGAGCAGTCCCCTTCCCATGGCTTGGGTTTAGAGTTTTCAGATATTTTAAGGCCTCTTCAAAGCTGCTCTGCGGCCCTGCTCGGTCTGATTAAGTGTGCTGCTGCTTGGACCACAAAGAAGGGTTTTAAGTGGAATGGTAACATTTTTGAGGGAAAATAGATGAATAAGTATTCAGAGTTAATTATCTGCAAAACCCTGAAATGGCATGAGTAATAAAATATAGATAGGTACACACTTATTCTTATGATGCCATTAGTGGTCTGTGCTTCTGTGGCAGATGGTGGTGTGCTGTTAAATGTTGCCATGCATAAGAGTAAGAAGATACTCCAAAATGCAGAATTATTGCCTGCCATCAGTAAAGGCTCAGGTCTTTGAGAGTATGATCTGGTTGAGGTGTTCTTCTAAAAGTATCTTGCCCAAAAACATGGTAGTGAGGACCTAAGAACAAAACAAGTAAAGCAGTTGAGGTTAGGCTGGAATAGGTCCTGTGTAGCTCCTGACCTCTCCCACATCTCTCCCAGGCACAATTCCCAGTGAGACCTCATTGTTCTTCTAAAAACAACTTTGTTCCTATCTGGTAGTTTTGTTTAGGATTTCATAGAAGCCGTAAAAAAATAATACCATGTAGTTGCTTTTGTTGAAATGTTTCTTCCTTTCCTTCCTTGCCCCAGAAATTTTCTTTTTTTTTTGACTTATTTTTCAGCCATTCCACCTGACCCTTCAATATTTCCATATTTCAAGGAGATTTAGCCAAATGGTGTGTTTCCATGGCTGATACGCAGCAATAATGCAGGGTTAATACCTAATTAGTTCCCAGGGACGTTGAGCTTTTCACGGATATTCAGTAACAAAAGCGACAACAAACAAGCTGAATTCCTAGGTCTTAATTCATCGAGGAAATAGGAACCTAAAAATGCAGGAATTATTCAGTGCAGTATGAAAGCTCCGTTCTTTCCCTCATGAAGCCCAGAGGATGCTATAGTAGCTGACAGGGGAAATATAACCTCCTCCTCCTCCTTCCCTCCCTCCCTCCAGGGGGGCTGTATATGTGTCTGAGTTTGCAGCCCTGACATCTCCCAACAGGAAAATTCCCAGTTCTGCAGCTCACTTTAAACAGCTCCTCGCAGATTCCCCTCCCTTGCCTCAACCCCCAGTCAGGCTGACCCTGTTTTTTTTCCTGACATCCAGCCATACCTGATCAGTTGTATCCTGAGCAGCTGGATGTGATCAGAGCTGGCCTTCCACCTCCCAGGATGGCGAGCATATGGGCCCGCGGGCTCCAGCCATTATGTTCCTGAGCACTGAGCTTGTCTGCCTGTGGCTACACAGGGGTTTTTCCCCCCCCCCCTCTCAAACAATCGCAAATAAACCTTTCTGATAAGTAACAGCAAAAACAAACAGGCCCTTTGGCTCTGCAGGCAGTGAGAAGGAGGGAGGAATGAAAACCCAGCCCAATAACAAAATCTTTGCTGTGTTTAGGCAGCACACGCAGAGTTGCCTCCAGGAGGGAGGAACTGTCTGCCCTCAGCCAGACAGAGCTTTTCTGGGAGCAGGAATGGCTCCTTTCAGGGTGATTAGCCCTCAGTGCTTTACAGTCAGGCCCTGGTGTGGGAGCTCCAGGGGATGGAGGAGGTTTGACTCTGAGACCAGCCCTGGAGATCACCCAGACCAACAAAGTGAGGCTTTGAGCTGACCAATGTGGGCAGTCTGGTATCAGCCTGGAAGTCACAGAGGGTTGAAGGCTGAGAATGGCTGTAGTGAGGGTACTCAGCCTTAGCCCCTGGCAGAAAGGGAAGAGCAGGAGGCTGGTACAGTGCAAGAGTTCAGGGTAGTTGTGGGAAGAGGCTGTGGTTGGTCCCAAACAGCCTCTTTTTGTCCTTTCCCATTGCCAGAAAGTGCCTTGGCTTCTGGAAGGGGTCACAGGAGGCCTCTGACACTTTGCACTGTGTTTGCCAAGGGGAGCATAACCAAAGCAAATCCCCCTGTCTTGGGGGTTCACTGTGATGCTTGGAGAGCTGAAGAGGGGTCCCTGAGTGCCTTCCCCCACCTTAGTGTGTCCTGAGCTCTGATCACTGTGTAAAACTTGAGGCAACCAAGAGATTTTTGCAAAGAATGTGTGACAGAAATGGTAGGTCTTACCTTCCTTGTATTTTCCTTTGCTCTGTGCCACGGAAATAAGGCTTCAGCCTTTCCAGACAGTCCTGACTTCCCAAAACGACGTAGCTCAGTGGTCAGAAGTGTGCACTAGGGCATCCAGATGGGACCTGGCATGGTCTTAAAATTATGGTCTAAGCCTAAGGATGGGAAAAAAACCCTCACTTTGCTCTCTGAACCCCATCAATGTAACACACAGGCTATTGCTGCCCTGTGTGTTGAACACACTGGGGCCACAAGAAACCTGTAACTGTGCAAAGTGTGGGGGAAAAGCTCATTCTGAGATGTTCAAGAAACGTGATGAACTCAAAAGCTGCCTGGTAACACAACACCTTTTAGACCAGGAACCTGCATTCTGGGTAGATGTATTGAGGGGTGGTAACCTCATTCCCTCAGTCAATAAATGATGGACTTTTTCAACTTGGAAGCCAGACCCATGAGGAGCCTTAGAAACCTTTACCTGGGCAGATATGGCCAAGGTTACCATCCTGGCACATCCCCACTGAACTCAGACACTGTCTTGAGAGGCTGTCAGAGTCTGCACCATGGTGAAGGGCTGGAACCACATGAAGGGACCCTGTGGCCCTGTCACCTCCTCCTGCTCCTGATGACAGGAGCCAGAGCACCGATGTCACCACACAGTCACAACACATGGCACCAGGTACAGGTTGTGTTGCTGCCGGTGTGTCTTCTCTGAGGTCTTCAGTGGGAGTTACTCCTACACACCGATGGAGTTCTGTGTCCCTAAATGCTTGAACTGTGGAAAGGAGCAGCAAATCCCTCTGGGAATTTCATTCAGAGAGGGGAAAATGAGAGCCTAAGCCGTGGGATCAGCACCAAGTGGGCCAAACATCGCTGTCGGTTACAGCCCAAGCAAACAGCATTAATTGTAGATTTGTGCCAGCCTTTCTGAGAATCACTCCTGGGGCAGAGCCACTTCTGGTAGAGGATTAATCTCTCTGGAAAACTCCCTCTTGTTCTTTGCCTGGTCCCTGACGCTCACACATGCACACAAACCAACCCCGGTGACCCCCCGACAACCCAGTCAGCTCACAGGGAAGGAAAGGATGTGAAATCCAAGCTGCCACTCCAGCACAGCCCTGCATCTGCCACAGCCCTTTCGGAAGGCAGGACTAGCCACCTGCTAGTTGTTTTGCTCGGGGAGAAAATGTCTATTGGACACATAGGAAACAACTAATCCGGTCCCCCGGGAGGGACTGGCCATTTGTCATTCCCACAGTCTCCAGCACAGGTACTCAGCACCTGCCAGAGCTGGGGCACTGTGGCTTTTCTCTGGTTGTTTTTCCACTTGGCAGTAGTTTTGGTTTTGGGTTTAACTAATTGTAGCATTTCTCAGCATTTACACTTGGTCATCCACGTCAGGACAGTGAAAAATACAGTGTACCATGTTGCCACACATGCACCCTTCTTCTAAGCTTCAAAATTAATGGAGAAAGCCGTGAATTCCATGTGCTGGATGCATTTCTCCTTTTTCTGTGCACACAAACTTTCTGATAAGGCAATTGTGCAATTTAAGATTTCCAGAAACATGGATCTTCTCTAGTTCTCACTTCTGTCTCTCTGTGCCTAAAGAATGGTCAGTGGCATCCTCTCTCCACACTTCCACGATGTCATTGCACTCCATGTTGCACTGGAGTGTGATTTGATTTTTTTTTACCCAGATTTTCCAGTGGAAGTGCTACAGATGCTCCCCTGGAGTCTCAACAGCAGAAGGGATACTTTAGTGGTCTGGAGCAGCAGGCTAGGAATGCCTCCATTCCTCAGGAACAGCAGGCTCAACTCCACAGGCTGCTCAGCCATTCCCCTTTCCGAGGGCAATAAATTGAATACCATTCCATTTACTGCCTGCCCACAAGTTTCAAGTGAAAGAGGTAGGAGGGGGAAAAAGCCAACCCCGAGGCCAGTTAGTCCGTGGGTGCAAATCAGTGTGGCTGTGCTGGCTTACACCAGCTGTGGGGCTGGCCCCGAGGTTTTGTGTTCCCATTATCCTGGGGCTCATATTGCAGGAATGCAGGGTTGGCCAGATGTGCTGGCCACAGGATCCCCTCCCCTCCCTAAGTGACAGGGTACCAGCTGCCACTCCCTGCCCTCAGAGCAGCCTGCCTGCAGCATGGAAGGTGCCGTGGGATCCTTGGGAATGGCCACCAGCACATCAACGCTACCCCAGTTCCACGACACAACTCCGAGTAAGAGCAGTCAAGGAACTTTTCCCCCTTTGGAAGTGATGTTCATCTCCTCCCCCAGCCCAGCATATGGAATTCTGGATCACATTTCTCTCTCTTGCCAATAAATATTGCAGATTTATTGCTCTCTACCTGGTGGGCAGTAAATTGCATTCCACCTCTGTTATAAGGCTCTTTGCTATGACACAGCCTTGCAGCTCCATTAAACCTTAATTACAGCAACACTTCATTGGGTCCCTGCGATGGCCCGAGCGCCATTGCAGTAGGGAGGATGTATGGCCAAAACAGGCCGATGCAGAGAGGCTTTGTTTTGTTTTCTTTCCTCCCTTTTTAAGGATTACGGAGAGCTGAGCCCAGCAAGGGGAATAGATGGAGCCTGAGCCTCCTGCTCTCTGCTCATTTTCCACGACAGCTGGCTTCACCTGCCGCAGCCCCCCGGCCCTGATGAAGTGCTCAGCAAACAGTGCTCCAAGTTGCCTCTATTAAATGCCTTATTTGCGTTTGTGCTGATGAGATGCATCCTAGGTGGAGTTATCCCCGGGGTTTGATTGCAAGGGGAGAGCAGGGTTTGGCCAAACAGAACACCAGGAGCAAAACGGCACTTGGGTTTCTATGGACTGTGGCGAGACAAATCTGAGAGCTGTCTCAGGGCTGTGCAGGCTCCTCCTGCAGCGGGCAGATTGCTCTGTGTCAGCTCAAGGCACTGTTTCTGGTGCCATCTGTCCTTCCCTGCAGCCTGTGACAAGGAATGAGGCTTTGCAAGTGCTGGCTGCTGCCGTGGCTCCTCAGAGGCCAGTGTCTCCTGATGTTCTCCCCAGGCTCCTCTGGCCCTGCTCCCTGAGGCCACAGGGAAGGCTGGGAGAGGGTGGAGGGCTCGGTGCCTGTGGACATTGGATGTGTGGATAGATGGTTGTCATTTCCCCTCTCCAGCCAGGCGTGGAGGAAGCACAGCTCGGAGCTCCAGGAGAGGCTGTCCAGTGCCTGTGCTCCCTCCGGACTGTTCTGCTTGGCCTTATGGCTTTCGTTCTGGAGATCATTCCAGGTCTAGGATGAGTCCCCCAGCCCCTCAGGCAGGTTCAGTATGAGTGTGCATTGTGCAGACACCTCTCCTCAGATGGATGCTCAGACCTTTCTGTGGGATGATGAGCGAACCAGAAGGCTCTAATGGCTGCACCAGCCACTTGGATTCGGTGCAGGGTTCCAGAGGTGAGCACTGAGTCGGCAGATCTGCCCAGGAGAAAGGACTGTTTCATTCCCAGTTCGGAAATTATTTGCCTGCCCGGCCGTACTGGTGTGATACCAAGTGTCAGATGTGGTGTAGCTCTGACAGGAACTGGAACTGCTGGGATTATCCTCAGGATTCTCTTCGCCCACACATCAGCGCTGATTGTGACTGTTGTGGTCACTCTGTGTAATGCTCATCATCCCTGTAAGTCCACTTGTGTGAGTAAGGATGTTTATTTGACTGCATTTTACCACATCCATAACTTTATCTGGTCAAACATCCTTGAGATATCCACAGGGAATTGTAGCACAGAAAACGACACCACTGCTAGTGCAGAAAGCAGCTACCAGAAAGCAACTGAAATCTTTCTACCAATTCAGTTGCTGAACTCTTTAACAAATAACCAACACATGGGAAATACTTGCCTTTGGAGAGCCTGTGTCAGAGCCTTGTTTGTCCTTACGCTCCCCTCTTGCAGCAACCTTGAGATGTCAGACGTAGGAAATGTGGCCACAGCTGTTTATGCACTTAGAGGGTTTTTTCCAAGGCCACATCCTTCTATTCTCCCCTAGATTGCTTGAAAAGACACTGCAGGGACTCCAGAAAGCCAAGGTCTATGTGCCATGTGCAGGTGTTGCCAGGAGATTGACATTCTGAGCATTTGAAAACTATCAGAGAACTAATTTGGTGGTGGTTTTGTTGGTTTTTTTCCTCTCCTCCTTCCTTCCCTCTCGAAGTGTGCATTAGAAGACTTTGTGATATTTCTAACAGAGCCACATTATTCAAGCCATAGACAA